GTTTAGTTTTTTAATTTTTTATTTGATACTAATACTGATATTTTTTTGCAGATCCTGTGATTATGTCTGTCAAATCATCAACTTCTTATGCACAAGAGGATTTAGATCTTATTAATTCTGAAATTTTTAATTTAGAACAATCTATATCTCCAATGAATTCTGGTGCAAGAACACCAAAATCTGATAGTTGTGGAGAATCTTATTCTCGACCAGAACCATCAACTGACTTATTTAATTTGCTAGATTCAACAGAGGTAGTTAATAGTAGATGTAAAACTTCAAGTGTAAAAGAAGAAATTGTACCTGCTGTGAAATCGGAGATAACTGAAAATACAGAGATGGAAGTGAACACTATGGCAGTGCAATTGGGAATTGTTGAATCTGATGTAACAATGAAGCATATACAAAAAGATTTGACTCTTAAAGAAGAATTAAAAGGTATCAAAATAGAAGATGAAAAACCTCTTGATAAATCAGAAGGATTAAAGCCAAAAATTTTTAATCGAGGTGGACTAACATTCTTTCCTGGAGCCAAATTAGAAGCAAAAGATTTCAATGAAAAATGGTAAATATCTTTAAAAGATGGTAAATAGTGATTAGCTAATTAAGTATATTATAATATGTATTAGTCAGGGTTTTTATATATAATTATCTGTTCTTACGTTACAGGTATTCAGCTAAAGTAGTTGAAACTGACTGGGATGAAAGGGAAGTCTTAATACGTTTTGACAAGTGGAGCTCAAGATTCGATGAATGGATACCTATGGATAGTTCTAGGTTACGTGTATTGCAAACACAGTTAAGGTAAGTAGAGGTACATTACTGAGACTAAATAAAAACTATTTAAGTTAATACAAGTAAAAAAGTAATAAAAATGTTTCTACATGAATAATTTTGACGTGATTTACTTTTTAAATTAAAGTATGTTATGTTAGTACTTATGGATCTATTTTTTTTTAAGTGAACAAACGTGGAACCCACCATCTCCGTAAGTGGATATTACATAATTATAATATTACATAAAATAAATAAAAATTTTGAGGTATAAAATATATTTCAGGCAGTGGTTAAAAATATTATTAAGTTATTTTATCTCTTATAATACTAGTAGTAAAATTTTATTTCTTTTTTGTAATCTTTTCATTTAAATCTACATTTTCATAATTTTAAATTAAATATATTTTGTTTATGCGTCAATCATTACTACAAACTAAACTTTTCCAGTTTAGTACAATATATGTGCATATGTGAACTTGGTCTTTGAAAAAAAATTTCATTTTTAAGTTATTTGTATCTACCTACGTTTTGTAGATTATGCCTATAGAAATCGATATTTAAAAATTTTGTTTTCTCAAATGTGTTCTTTCAATGGAAATTTTAAAATTGATATGTGTATTATACAGCAAAAGAATTTTTGAGAATTTGCAATATGTTCTTTTTTTACAATATTTTACAATTTTATTACAAATGTGATATGTAATATCTACAGTTAGTGTTAATATGAACATTAGATAAAACCGAAAATATAAGTTAAAATATACTCGTTTTAAATTTTTATATAAAAGTTTTGCAGAATAACCATATATTAGAATAAAAAGAAATTGCTTTAGAATAAAAAGAATAGAAAGAAGCTTGTCAAAGAAATTTTTTTTTTTTTCTCAATCATTTCCGTCTATTTATCACAATAGTGATAATGTCTTTTTGAATATGGTAATGGGGTCATTTCAATTCTTTAGGGAAGCAAAAATAAAGGACTTTTCAGTGGGAGAAAGGATACTTGCTACATGGGCTGATGGCAGAAAGTATCCAGCCAAAATAAATGCCATCTTAGGAAATGGTTAGTGATCTAACCTTAACTACGTATGTGTGAGAGTTACCTGTGTTATTCGTTTGACGTTTCTTGGTAGGATTTCTTTCTGCATCGGGAAATGGTGCCTTTTTAATTTTTAATTATTTTCACAGATAGATATGATGTACTATTTGACGATGGATACGCAAAGACAGTTAAATCGTCAAAAATGACAAAAATCGCTACAACATTCTCAAAGGTACAGCTTTTGTTGTTAGGTTATGTTATATTATCATTAATATACAAGTTAACTAGATATAACCATATATTTTGTTATTATTGCTAGAATGATCTACACTAAGATTAGACTTTTTGTTTGCTTTATTAACTTAATTATTAGGAAATGTAATAATTACAGGAAATACATTTTTATAATGATATACTATTTAAAAAAAATTGATATTCCATATACAATAATTTATTTTATTTATTGTTTAAATACGCAAAGTTATTGTTGTTGATCAAAATTCTATGCACTAATTTTAATACTATGCATTAATTTTTATTTATAATTTTTAGAACTTTCATATTATAATTAGTATCATTGTAGAATAGAATCACTTTGAAAGCAAGAAATAAAACGGATAATTTTATTTTTAGGAAGTAAACAAGAAAGAAGGGACAAGAAGAGAAAGCATACAGTAATGGAGTTATTTCATACACATTCTAGAAAACGTTCAAAAAATGAAACAGACAAATTAGCAAAAAAAGAAGGAATTATAATCAATGAAAATACAGAATGCTTTTCAGAAAATAAAATTGATTTGGATGGTACCTTGTTCGGACCTTGTTATGATCCAGGCACAGATTTGTTACGAGGATTTGATACCAATGTATCTAAAGTGAAAACTTATACTAAAAAGAATAAGAAAGAAACATCTAAAAATGAACTAGATCTGACAGAAGACGTGGGTCCAGAATGGGTAGATGGAGAACCTCAAGGAACTGAATCTTATATAGTTGATGGAAATGATGGTACAGTAAAATAAATACATATGTTTAAAAATTTTCTATATATATATTTTACAATATTCTGTACAATGTAGAATTCGAATAATATGAATGTTTAATGTATTTGCATTTTTATAGGGCCACGTCGATCAATAATAGTGGCAGATAAAAGGTTGCCACCAGGCTGGCAAAAACATTTCACTCAAAGAAAAGCTGGTACATCTGCTGGAAAATGGGATGTTTTATTTTTTCATAAATCAAGTGGGAAAAAATTCAGATCAAAAAATGATATTAGAGCATTTATGGAAAATCAAGGACAATTTGATTTTGATCCAGAAAAATTTGATTTTTGTATTCATCGGAAAAAGAAAAATCAAACTCAAAAAGTAAAGCAAGATGTTGTGGATACCCCAAAAAAGATTAAGACCTTATTACCTAAGGCGAAAGCAACACCAGTAACTGATAATTCATTACTTGTTCGTACAAATACACCAATTACAACTTTAGTATCTACGTCAACTACATCTATTACAGGTGGTGGTAAGATTCTACTTTTCCTTTTTATTTTTATATTGTTCATTATATCTTATTGAGTTTACTTTTTTATGCTTACCTGTATTAGGAGTAATTTATTGTAAGTACTAGGAAACAGCACTTTTGATTTAAATATATCTCTATAAATAATTGTAGTAAATATTAGTGCAATATAAATAATGTGTCATAAATTTTTGTATGCTAAATAATTCTTCTTTTGTCTACTAACAGCTGTTTTTATTGGTGGACTTCGAGTAGAAATGGAAGACAGTGCTTACAAATGTCCAAAGCAAGGATGTAGTAAAACATTTAGAAAAGAAAATCTTTTGCAAATGCACATTAAACACTATCATCCAGAGTACTCTAAATTTTTGGGATCTACACCAAATGTTGCAGATTTAGCTTATGCAAGAATGATTGGAGAATCTGTTGAAGATATTATTCCAAAGAAATCAAACAATTTATTAGAGAAGTGTAATAAAGTTGGAAAAAGAAAATGTATTCAAGATAAACCGTTATATGTTGCACCACCATCTGCAACAAGTAATATTCAACCTATGTCTCCAACAATAATTGTACCAACTATATCGGAAATAGAAGATGAGGTGGATCAAGCAGAAAAATGTAATGATGTACAAACGGAAGGTATTAAAATAGAGAGTATGTCCCCAATTTCTAGTCACAGTTTGGATATGGATGATGAAACCGAGAAAAAACGGGAAGACACATGTGCAATGTCGCCTGGAACGTTATTTGATATGAAAATTCGGGAAGAAAAAGTACAAAGCGGTATTAAAACTCTTCTTCCAGTAAGGTCAGCAGCATCTTCAGAAGTACAGAGAATTGATAGGTCAAAGTCTTTAGATGAAGCTATTCACATCGATAAGATGAAAGGACAAAGGAAGCGACAATTATCAGAATATAGTTCTGATATATCAAACAGGGGTAAAAAACGGCATGGTAATAATGTACCTCTTGTTTTGTAGTCACTTTAATAAATTAAAAATATAAAATGTTATTCTGCAATAGGGATTCAAGAACTTGCAGACGAGTATGGTGATTTGGATGATAGTGGCATGGATACAGAGGGACCAACTACACTTATGTATAGATACAGCCGTAGAAAATCAGATTCAAGAAGTGATGAAAATAGTCAAAGCAGTAAGTTTTCATTATCTGGTATACAGGGTGATCCTTTTTATTTTTTAAATGTCTAAATTTCGGAAACTACATTGAATTGGTAACCTGCTTCTGGGGGACTAAGTGAGATGAGAGGGGACACTAGTACCTGCAGGTGTAAGTCCGCGAAGGGCAAAGGTTATATTTTTTTCTACAAAATGGTACAGCGTAACGAGACGAATACAACGACCTCATATGTTGCATAATTTTATTCAAAAATGCAACGGCAAACCGTAAATAATTATTCCATTTGATAAAGTAACGTAGGCATCTCGCAGTAATTGCGTGATGTTAAAAGTATCACTTTAAAAATGCTTATGGCCCTGCAAGATGACATCAAGAGGTGTATTCAAACATGTATTGATGTTCAGGGCAATGTATTCAAGCACTTGCAGAGACACTAGTACATCGAATGGTTGTTTTTCGACATTTGACGGTCGTTACTTAGGATCGTAGCGATTAGTGCGAGATGCCTCCGTTACTTCATCAAATGGAATGTTCATTTACGTTTTGCCGGTGTATTTTTCAATAAAATTATGCAATATATGAGGTCGTTGAATTCGTCTAGTTACGCTCTATCATTTTGCAGACGAAAGTGTACTATGTGTCCTTTAAAAAAATGACCATACGCTTGCACTTAGCAAACTTACATCTGCACACATTAGTGTCCCTCTTCATCTTATTTAATCTCTCAAAAGCAGATTTTTCAATTAGCGTAGTTTCCGAAATACAGTAAAGACTCCATAAGAGTTTGAAATTCGGTCCGTTGTGGAACAGTTACGGAATAGGTACTAGATTCTTCAAACTATTTGTATTTTACCGACACCGACGGACGCAGAAAGAGACAGTGGACAAAGAAGAGAGAGGTATTGAAAGTTCAGACAGTCATAAAAACTTAAATGCCTACATATGGGTGAGACAATACTAATACAAAAGAGAAACTTTTTTATTTTTTTGTATTTTGTCGATAAAACTTTTACTAACATATTCACGATATTTTTCTGATTAAAATGAGACCAAATACGGTATAATTCGGTTTACATTTAGTTACTTAATAAGAAATTCCACACATGCGTATGTTCATACACACATAATTACGTTCTCGCTAAGCATAAAACTCATATGTGTATTCTTATGTGTCCTTTAAACTCGTCAGAGGTCGAAAATCGTTTCTTACTCTCCGTTAATTGATCAAAGGCAATGCCGCTTACGAACAGTTAACGTGTAGAAAACTGCCCCATTCGAGAATAACTGAATTGATTCAGTTCTAGTACTGGATAACTGTTCGTATTCGGCACAGCTGTGAAACTCTTAACGGAGAGGTCCTCCATTAGAAAAAGGTAGCAGGCAAGGGAAGATTCACAAGCCCAATCAACACAACCAAGTTTTGTAACAATATTGTGTTTGGTATCATTTTAATCAGGAAAATCTCACCAATATTTTGATAAACTTTTTATTAACGAAAAATTGAAAATAATAAACTTTTGTAGTTTTGTTAGTATTGTCTTACGGGCATGCCGTCACCGAATTCGATATCATTCTGTATAATTCGACGCATTTGTACTAAATGCTCCTTTTTAATTTTATTATTATAAATCTTATCCATTATAAATCACTTTTATTTCTCTGTAATATAAAGTTGCATTTCACTGTTTTATTATTTTATTTTTCTGTAGGTCAACTAAACGATTCTCGTGTTGAAAGAGATGATCCTTTAAAAGGGGATACTGGTAGAAAAGATACTAATGATGGGGAAGGTATATTGTTTATTTTTTTTCACACTTTGCTATATTTTATTTTATTGAAATTCTCAGTGATTTTAAATTCGAATCAGCAATCCAACATTCAGAATATTTTTTGTTATTTCTTATACTTTGGTGATATTTCTTTCATAATACTTTAAGTTTAAAGATATATTCATGCATGTACTGTGTTGATTAGTAATCTATAGTTAGCTTTTTATGACAACTTATAAATAATATCATTCTAGAAAATGAAGGAATTATGATGATGATTAATGGTGAAATGATAAAAGTGGAACAGCTTCGTAGAGAAGAAATAATAAATTGTACCTGTGGATTTATGGAAGAAGATGGTTTAATGATACAATGCGACCTTTGTTTATGTTGGCAACATGGTCATTGTAATGCAATAGAAAGAGAAAAAGATGTACCTGAAAAATATGTTTGCTTTATTTGCCGGAATCCATATCGACAACGGTCATCCAAGAAGTATTTTCATGACCAGGATTGGATAAAAGAGGGAAAACTACCAATGTTACCTAATAGAACAAAGAATCAGCACCGCGTTAATGAAAGGACGGCTATGTTAAAACGTTCTTATGATTTAGTTGCTGCCCTTTTACAGATACAACAAGTTTTGTATAGTTTAAGGGTAAAAATTAATGTAGCTCAGTAAGTATTAGCAGTTTTTTTTTCTTTTTTTTTTTAACAAATTGGGAAGTACGAAAAAAAAATGATAATGAAAAATGATAGTGAAATTTATACGACAGGAAGAAAGATCATCCAAAGTTATACCTTTGGGCTAAAAATTGGGAAAAAATTGAAGTACCAAAATCAAATACGATACCAGTACCAATTATGGAAGTTACAAAGCCGGGAAAAGATTGTACAGATACTGTAGCTGAAGCGTCGCACAGAATCGAAGTAAAAATGGAAACAAAGTTTTGTTTAAAAGATGAACATGATGAAAAATCAATAGCTTCGGACTCAGAATTAATGAAAATTTTGGAAGAGGATAATACAACTCCCGATGAGTCTAGAGTGACCTGTAAAAAAGATTTGGTGCATCAAAGTAAGAGTCACATTCTTCTTGATGTGCTTACAAAAAATGATGTATCAGAAGAAAAATATAAGGATTCACTAGCTTCGGATGCAAAAACAAATACAGGTAGAAAGAAACAAGTTTGGTTTGCTTTCATAACGAAGAAAATTTTATTTTTATTTTTTGTACACAGATTTATTGACTAATCAAACCAATGTATCTGAAAATAATACATCTGCATCAATTGTATCAGCCAATCATTCGCACGAAGAACTAAATAAACACGAAATATCAGCACCATTGCAACCTTTTATACCACAGCCAGAAGCACCAATTGATCCAGGAGAATGTCGAATGCGATTATTAGAACACATTGAACATTTTCAAAATCATATAGATGCAAAATTAACATTTATCGAGGCACAAGTTTGTGGTTAGTAAAATTCGCTTATATATTCCATATTTAATAAGAAAATTAAATCATCTAATATTTAATATACTTTTATAGCTTTAGAAGCTATGGATCCTGAAGATGTACCTGATTCAGATGTTCAGCCCCGAACTAAACAAACAGTTCAAATGCTTCTTCGAGATTTAAATACAGTACGAAAATTAGCTGCTATATGTTAAATTCGAATTATATTTTTAGAAAAATTTTTTAATAAAATTTCTAAAAATATAATTTGTGTTTGTGATAATTCTAATATAGATCCCAATTTCGTATACTATTGATTATTACTAAAGCAATTCTAAGTAATTTTCTCGAATTTTAATGGAAACTTGTAATTAGAAACATACAGTTGTATTTTATATTGTATGTATAGTAAATACAAACTAATTTCTACTAACGAGTATACACATGTAAATATTAGATAGAAATAATAAGCTATAATTGTATTATAAAACAACATTCATTTCTGTTTATGCATAGTCATGATTCAACTGATTATGGTATTGTTTATAGTTATATTACTGACATTGCATCGATATACAGGGTGCATCTTTCAAGATTAATCATCATTTTTCAAGTATTTTCGATAATTTGCTTAAGAAATGTTTTGAACAAAAGCTAGTCAACCTTCGGTCCGTTACACATTTGGGTGTTAAAAATTTCCAGAAAATATTGTTTTCAATAAAAAGTTAAGTCAAAGTCAACTTTTTCAAATGGCACCATATATTTTGGACTTCACAGAGTTGTAGCTGAGGTCAAAACGAATTCAATGACCTGTTATACTATGACCTTGAGTTCAGAAATTTAGGTTTGATTAACAGAAACGTTAATATGGAAAATTATTTTATTTTAATCAAATTACGGTATTATTGTTTTCATTGAATTTGTTTAATAAATTCATTAGTTTGACAGCCTTAATCTTATTTTGAATATGTAATTTGATTGAAATAAAATAATTTTCCATATTAACGTTTCTATTAATCAAATCTAAATTTCTGAACTTAAGGTTATCTCACATAGTATAATAGGTCGTTGAAATTGTCTTGACGTCAGCTACAACTCTGAAGTCTAAAATGTATGGTGCTATTTAAAAAAGTCAAGGTCACCTTGAAAACAAATTTTTTTGGAAATTTTTAACACCCAAATATGTAGCGGACCAAAGGCTGACTAACTTTTGTTCAGAACATTTCTTTGACAGATTATCGGAAATGCCTGAAAAATGGTGGTTAATCTTAGAGGATACACTCTGTATATATATTTTTAAATAAGTAGGTAACACAAGTTAAATTTTTTGTAAATAATAAAGAAAGTAAAATTAAGGTGTAAAGTATGATATAATGAAACTATTCTTTTCATAACATAATAACATATTTATTTATAAAAATAAATAGAGTCTTTGTTTAAACATATTAGATTAGTTTTTATTAACACAAGAATATGTGTAGTTCTGCTTTGCGTATTTTCGAAATCATGCGGATTTGTCAACTATAGAAATGTTATTAAGATGTGTCACAGTTACCAATTATAATGGAGAAAACAATAGAGAATTATTTTTAGTTGATCTTATTTTATGATAAGATTAGGAAGGGAATCACATGCCGTTACCATATTTTACGTTGATTTGTGGTAATATTCGAAAAACAAAGACGATGAACATATTTAACTGCTCGAATAATGCGAATTTTTATAGAACTTTGTGTGAGATTTCGAAAAAGTATTTAATACGTATTTCTTTTCACATACCGATCTCCACGTTGGAGAGGTGAAAATACCTTTCCTAAAGTTGAGGTTAAAAAACATTTTTGTTCAGTATGTAGGAAAATATTAGATTAAAAAAAATAGTTTAGTACGTTCGCTGTAAAGGATGCAGTATATGTGGTTCAGAATGCGGTGCTCGGTGTGCCAGCGCCGACAGTGTTAGTCGGTCGGTCACATTAAAAGTCGATGCCGCCCTTGTGTGATGCACGACACTACCACGAATCTTTCGTTGAAGGCGGAGGCGGCGTGTGTTGCATGCATGCATGCTTGGCTTAACTACGAATTGGTGGCACGCGGCATGCCCCTTTTCGATTTTCGGGTGGCAGCGAACGTGTTAAATGTAGAAATTCCTTACTTTTAAAGAAGGAACTCAGGTATGCAAGGAATTTTTGGAAAAGTTCACTTGTTCAAATAATGTATCAAAACCTAGTATATTTTGACATGTTATTAATATATTATATATGTAAACGTTAGTCGATTTTCGTATAAATTTACACGTAGAAAGAAATTACGCGTCAAATATTTTTTTGAAAATTATTTCAAACATAAGTTTCATCAAAGCAATATTTTATACTTAAAGACTCTCCCTTGTATAAAAAGAGAACAGAAAAACTGCGTGTGCACATCTAACAACGAGAGATTCAGCATTATCATATTCCAATTTGCTCTAATTTTTTATCAGTATGCAATATATATCACTAATACAGTGTATGTAAAATTTTTTCCCATTATAAATTACAAATATATCAAAAAGTGATCAAATTTTACACTGCAGGGAAAGATTTGCATTCTCCATTATGTGCTGTGGCTAGGAAGTATTTCCATATAGCATCATGCATGGTATTCGAACGCGTGTGATATGTTAATTATTTCCAGTGAAAAATTTATCTCCTTATGCTTTTCGACTATTACGAAGTATTTCAAAGTCAATTAAGTATTAATGTCTTTAATATGTGTACATTATTAAAACGATATTGATATTCAAGTGAAATTTTCAAAAACTGTAATGCATATGGTTCATTAAAATATAGTAGATTTTACCAAATATGTATTTTAAATGGTTATAAAAACTTTGTCGAATACTATTCGCAATTATTCTCAACTATATACGACTATTTATGGACATTTCCATTTATACGTATGTTCTCTACAAGTATGCATGAATTAATTGTGCATAAAGTTATATTATGACTCATATGGATTGGCAGTCCATTTTTATTCTTACTTCAACTGACAACGAACCATAACTGTCTGAAACTAACGTTCGTAACATTTCTTTCTTCCCGAAGAAGTATATTCCATTTTTGATTTCTTCATTAATCGAAAATGATATCTCTGCTATAAAAAGCTTATTATAAAAAGTTTGTTTATTTTCGTGGTTTTTTCAAACAAAAAACATTTTGATTTGTTCTAAATTCGAGAAGAAAAGAGATGAAAAATTTTAAATATTGGAATTTTCGCAGATAATAATCGTTGCCCAGATTCTTTAATAAAAAATTACCTTCTTCGTTGCTAGTGATATAGTACATAAATGTAGAAAAATTCATCCAATTGGGTTTTCTGTCAGTGTTACTCTTAATTCTTAAGCCTTTGGCGCTGCTTCCTTGAAATCTTTTTGAATGTATCTTTTATCAGTCTATACATATAATGAACCTTCTTCTAAGAATGCATCCCCAATCTTGAAAATCTATTCTCATCAGCATGGTGTCTTGTATATTATTTTTTCGTGAATTAATTTCTGGAAGTTTACCCTACTCGAGAAGAATATATTTCTTGCAGGAACTTCACTTTCTTAATTAATTCTTTAAACTTAGCTTCCTGGTAAAATGTCTCACTTTTACCTTGTATGACGTCAATGAATGCGGCAAAACTGCTACGTAAATCCTTTTGTTTTTATTTTTCATATTCATGATGTTAACTTAAGCTGAATTATGAAAATAAATACAAAAACGAGATTTTTAATTCTATGATCTGCGCAACGTGTAATTGGCACGAAACATATTGGAAGAATGAATTATTCTAGTAGTTTTACAGCTCAAATTGTTTTGATTGTATACTATAAGCAATGTATTAGGCTGGTGTAACAAGACATTCCTGCCTTTCTTTCATCTATCATGAAGTAAACCTAACATAATTAACTAAATTTGCGAAATGTGAATTTAATAATTAATAATGTATTAGAAATTGAATTTTTAATATGCAATTTTAATAATGGCGACAATTGGCACGTTTTCACTTGCGATGATTTTTTCTGTGAGATTTTGATCAAACGTTTGTCATTATCTCAAGAATTTCTGTATCTGAGGACTGTACTTCTTCGTTATTGTAAAAAGAATTCTTAATACATTAATAAAGTTTTTTGGCAGTAAATTGTATAATACTTTTTACAGTGTATCTGCCCTAACTTTTAATTAGGAGTAATGAAAGGTTTTCTGTCTATTTGCAGAAACCATTCTAGAAGATTCATTCTAAATTAGTTTTCCTCATTATTGAAGACCCCAATGTTGAAGTGTTAATGTATAAATTTCATAATTCAAACACTAGTTGTATATACAGATTAAAACATAAGTATAGAAAAGGGAGTACTTATGCTTGCATATTTATTATTCGCATTATTCGGTATACCTGTGCATTTAAATATGTACATGTTGTACCAGTGTCTTTTTACATTTGCTTTCTATCAATGACTTGCAAGCTTCTTTCTGACATATTTTTTCAAACTTAAATTGATTGGTATAGTTATGGAAGAAAATTGTTAAATTTTCTCTCCTATTGAAGCCAAAAAACTACATATTAACGTTTTAGCAGTTTCCTTACTTATTATACATTGATCTCATAATATAAACGTCGTTACTTTTCTACCGAGTATTTGACTATAAATTTTTAATTTTTCAACTATTTGATACTTCAAAGGTTTGAATACCTATCTGATTGAAATATGTGATGTGGTAAATTATTGTTAAGGATATTAATTTTTGTGTCTTCTTATTAAAAAAGTTATTATGTAAACCTGTATAATTGATGTTCAGTTTTAATAAGCCAAAAATTCTTTTTTACAGCCACCACTTCTTTCTATTTGGATTAAAACACTCACTACATTCTAATAAAACAGTGGTATGATCTATTTTTTGTTCTTTACTTTTTTCAACATTTGATTACACACTTCAAAATTGTAATTATCTATTCATTGCTAAAGAAATACTAACTCACATTGATAATGTAACATGTTCCAAATATTATAGAAAAATCTACATACTGTATATAATTTTAAACAGGTCAAATTACGTTACGTTGATATTTTAATAATCCTATTTCTCGTAAAATGTTTGTAAAAATACAATGGTCAATTATAGGAATTTTGAAATGGGAAAAGATATTTCACTGGAACTTTATAAGAACAATTGTAAGTAAAAATTGAATA